GAGATCCGGACCCTCACCACCCTCCAGACCTTCCGCGCCGCATCTGGCTATCCCGGCTGGCCTGGGGTTAAAGACTCTAACCCCTACTCGAATTGTATGACTGTTGAGTTCTTAAATGATGTAGTGCTTTTATGTTGTAAATTGTTTGTCCTCCCCCCCCCCCTTTTGAACTGTGAGCCGCCCTGAGTCCCCCCAGGGAAAAGGGCGGCATACAAATAAAGTGAAACTAAACTAAACTAAACTAAACTAAACTAAACTAAACTAAGTTGCAATTATTATTGTTAGTGCATTTATTTGCAACCCTAGGTTTTTGGCACAACTTATACAAAGCTGGTTCTACATCCATTCAATTCAACCCCCCCAAAATTAACAGTACTGTCAACAGCTACATCCCTATCTTCCTCGCGGCCACTGCAAACTCATTTTGTTACAAGTTCATCTGCCTCAGTCAGCAAGAAATAGATTTTCTATGCTAAACTGATTCAGTTGCGTTAACAAAAGCAGAATAAATCTAGCTTTGGATTCCTGACATAATCTGCAATGTAATAAGTCCGTGTTGATGAACCTTTTCGGCACTAAGTGCTGAAACCAGAATGTGCACGTGTGTGCACAAATATGCACTGGCCAGAAACCAGAAGAGCAGGTGCTCTTCTGTGTTCTGGCACATGCATGTGCACTGGCCACTAGACTTCATGCATGCAGGAGTGCCGGAAACTGGAACAGCAGTTGCCCCATGCACATGCGTGGACTGGCCAGATGCACTTCTGGGTTCCGGCACTCCCACACACGTGAAGAGCAGTTTGCCGGTGCACATGTGCATGCCGGAACCCAGAAGAGCAGCTGGCCATGGCACACATGTCCAGAGAGAGAGAGCTGTGTTTGCTACCTCTGGCACGCATGCCACAGGTTCGCCATCACTGTAATAAGTAATGGATCAGAGATCTTCCACCTATAAATGATCACAAATGTATAAATTGTGTGCAATTGTTAATCCCTTATAGATAATATTTCAACCAAAGAGGCTGTTGGCATTGTCTGAAAACAAAGTTCTGTGATAGAGTTTGTAAATAAGATAATATAAGAACAATTAACTTGATTAGTAGTTTTGTTGTTGTTGTTTTCCTATTTTATTTGTCAATTGATGTTTGGTTACTTTCCATGAGTTGCTGGGTATATTTTTTCCAACTACATTTTTATTTAAACAAAGGTGCATTTTCAAGAAAGATAATAGATGCTTTTTATGCAATTCCAGCCAGGAAGCCATCACATTTCCAGGAGTTACCTAAGCAGGCTGCTCATGTATTATTTCCACTATGATTCAGTGTGATGGCAGATTGGATAATGAGGAAAAGCTGGATTTGACATAAATTCAGTGTAGCCTGGAGGAACTGTGTCACAAGTGCAATATACCCCATTGCTGTTGTTCTCTTGAGGAATCAATCAATCAGGATAGAGTGGGAAGGGACCTTGTGGCCTTCTAGTTCAGCCCACTGCTCAAGCAGGAGAAGCTATCAGAGATGAAGTCACAGAGATATTTGAGAACAGTGTATCTACAGCAACATCTAAGTCATGGGCATCATAACACCAGCATCTATGCCCCATCCTGCCAGTGCTACAGCTCACCATGAATGGATTTCAAGTCAAGCATGAATTCAAAGCAAATGAATATCTCTCTTTTTCTTTGATCACAAAGGGCCCTCCCTGGATATAACTGTATCTCTAGTGACATTAAAACCTCTGAGTGAACATTACGAGACAGGAAAAAATAAATGCAATATTCTCAAGAGAATCCCATACACAATTTTTTTAAAAAAATTAAATCGTGACAGAGCCTTCTGCTTAACAGAGCATGTGTTCAGCTTTGGGGGAAAAAAATTCTAAATGGTATATGGATGGAGTTACTGTGAGAAATATTAGAGATATAGCTGCTTAAGTGATAGTATGAGAAAGAAGCTGGTTCTTTAAAAAAAATTAAAGCTTTGCTTTCAGTGGGATCATATTTTAATGTGATAATATATTTTCATTATTAGCATTTGATATAATCTTGGATTATATTTGACATTGTGGTTTCTTCTGTCATCAGATGGTATTACAGGATTATTACAGTGCACTGAGTATAAAAGAATAAAAACAGACTTTAGCAACCGACACAATGATAACATAATGAGATAATTATCGTGAGTTAATTATAACGAGTGATAAGTCTTCCGGTTTTCTTTAAAATCGCTAATTTGTTAAATTATAATTTAAATTAAAATGCTTCTATTAACTACCACTTTTCTCAACCAGTTTAATTAGGATTATTTCTATTTTTTTAATTAACAAAATTACCAGCTAAATTTCTGTTGATAACTCTTAAATGAAAAGGTGGAAGAACATCATAGAATCTAGCACTGATGATGTTACTTAGTTTGAGTAATGAGATGTCTGCAAAAAAACAGTCAAGCTCAGAAAGCATCAAAGACCCTCATTTCAATCCTGAGTTATAAATATTCTCCTTTATTGGTAACACAATTACCTCATACCCCCATCTCACAGGTACTTAAATTAATCCTCAATATGGACTGCGGTGGCTCAGTGGCTAAGACGCTGAGCTTGTCGATCAGAAAAGTTGGCAGTTTGGCGGTTTGAATCCCTAGTGCCACATAATGGGGTGAGCTCCCGTTACTTGTCCCAGCTTCTGCTAACCTAGCAGTTCGAAACACATAAAATATGCAAGTAGAAAAATAGGGACCACCTTTGGTGAGAAGGTAACAGTGTTCTGTGCACCTTTGGCATCTAGTCATGCCAGCCACATGACCACAGAGATGTCTTCAGACAGTGCTGGTTCTTCGGATTTGAAACGGAGATGAGCACCGCCCCCTAGAGTGTGAGGGGAACCTTTACCTTTTAAGCCTTGGAATCAATTAATTTGGTTCCTCTTGAAGCAGAACACCTAGTTTGCTTCTTCAGCCTTTCTTCAGCCTACTGAGAGAAGGTCTTCTGAATCTCATCTTGACTGATCTAAATGTCTTGGATGAAATCCCCCATCCTTGATAACACTTCTTTTGAATCATTGCAGACTCCCACAGATGACATAGAGGTGATAAACACTGAGAGAATTGAAGCATCTCCGGAAATCCCAGTGAAAGATGAAAGAAGGAGCCAGGAAGTTGCAGAAACCAAGTCTAAAGCAGAGGAGAGATCTACCAAAACTAATTTCAGAAAATTCTTTAAACTGGTAAGACTGATATCCCTGGATTTGTAGGTCAGCTGTATTACAATCATTGCGCAGGCAGACCTCTTAAAGTATAATTAATGGTAAATATGATGGGACAGCCAATTTAAAAAATTTCTTAACAGCCCTATGTTGGGTTGGGTCCAGCAGATTGGATGGATGGATGAACATTTTTAACAGACCAACAGTGAACCCAACTTTAGGCCTCTATTCCACAACATGTCTACTAAGGAATATAAAAGGAATGTTAAAAGTTGCCTATAAGTCCACCTCACATATCTGTATAGTTCATCTATAACATTTGATGGTAGGCAGAATTTTAATGACTCTCCAGCAGCTAGAGATATGCTCCTGAGTAAAGAGCCTTTTTTGTTGAATTCCATTTCTCTTGAGTTCCACCTTCATACTATGAAAGGGTTCAGGGTAGAAAGTGGGAATCAACAGTTCCTATTCCAACAATGGCCATTAGCTAAATATACCACAGCTACCTGAGTAGAAGTCCATCAAGCATCGGACTAAGCAATCATTTATTCAAAATGAGGGGCAAAATCTTCCAATATGGACCTTTGAGAATATATAAAAGTCCCTGGCAGCATTTACCACATGAATTATATGTGTGTGTATGTGTGTGAGAGAGAGAGAGAGAGGAGAGAGAGGCGGGGGAGAGAGACTTACACTCTGGAGAAAAATACTGTGGGGGTAAGACATCTCTAACATTCCTCGGGTTGTGTGTTCTGTTAGGATGCAGCCTGTTGTAGCTTTAAATGGCTTCTATTGTACTGCCATAAAATGGCTCCTACTATACAACACAGTGGAGTTGCCATGGAAACAGTTTCACAGTACTCCACAAGAGGGTTCCCTCTGATAAGAGGGAAAATCCAACATTAGAAATTACATTTGGTCCAGACATTTTCCCCCTATAAATAAATAGCCGGGCAACACCAGGTATAGGCTAGTTTCATATATAATAAAGATTCTAATCTAACCATGTCACCTCTGAGACTTTTCTGCCAACTCAAGTTGAGAAGTCAACTAAGAGTGAAGTGTCAGGAGTTCTGTGGTCTACTAACAAGTCCTAGTCTAAAACCTGATACACTGAAACAAATCATTTCTGGAGGAACAATTGATAGACTATATAAGAAAGACATAAAAAGGTATGACAAATGGTGTGGTAGACCATATATTTATTCTACATGGATGTTCACAGGACACTCCCAAGCTTGCCAGAAGTTCCCTAGAGGACATTCCTATGAGAAAATAAATAACATTCTTTTTTTTTTTTTTGCCATTGTGTTCCTAAGTCCTGAAACAGCAAGGCTCAGTTAGACTCCTATGTACAATCATTTATAATCACTGTAGGAAGAAATTCATATAATCCTTTGTTATTTTAGTCAGTCAGGAGTGACACAGAGGTAACTCCTTCTGAAATAAATGAGCCGGCACCTGATTACCAAGTAAGTGGATGGATCATTCAGTTTTCCTTCGGTGATGGTTCAACTGAACTGTTCTTCTGGGATTTAATGAGAACGTACTTGATCCTTGAGTTATTATATTTGATATACAACTTTATGTATTTCCTCCTGCCTTTGTTTCCTAATACTTTTTGCACGGAAAGTGGCACTGTTGGTTTAAAATCTGCTGGCATTTTCAGCCCAGTTAAGGAAGACTTAATTAAGCCTTAAATTAAGTTCAGGCTAGAGAACATTATTTATCAGCACAAATATAACATATATATATATATATACACANATTGTGTTTTTAAGACTTTATCTCTGCATATTGTAATTCTTTTCCTCCACTAGTTTTCTTGATTATTTTTAACCAAAGAAAGTGGGATATGCATTTGTTAAAATCTAAGCAGCCTAGGACTTGTCCATCTAAAGAATGTGGTCTAAATCTATCCAGTTTTTTAAACTTTTAGAAACTTTTCTACAGTAAATTAGCACAGCAGAAAAACAATTTTTGTAATCCTGTGTTTTTTCTCCCTTCCTTTCGCTGTCTATGTGTATGCATGTGTATGAGAGGGTGTTATAACTAGACAATGATGCTGCTTTCATCATTTGTAACATGTTGGCAAGTATGAAATTAATTAGGAATTGTTGAGCTTGTATGCAACAAAAGAGAAGAGAGTAGGTGGGCAGAGAGCAGCTGTCAAAACTGAACTTTTGTGAGTGTCCATTTCTGAGTGTATTTTACTTTGTTCATCTATACAAAGTAGAAGAAAACATGTTTATTTGCTTCAAACATCAGTATCTAGCATTGTTGAAAAGCAAGGTGGAATAAATGAGAACAATGAGGTAGACATACAAACACAAAAATATTCAAACTCGCCTACAAGGACCATTCATACACTTGTTAACAAATAGTTATTGTGCTACGTTCAGTTTCCCGAAAGAGGAAGATTACCATACAATACAAAAAAATACACTGACCAATTAAAAACTTCATACTCTAATTATGTTTGTGTAAACCTGTACTCAATTTGGATTCTTGATAGAGTTAGAATACAGTTGAGCAATTTTGCTATATGAAGTTATGTTTTCATTGATCTTGCCTGAAAGGGCACTTGCTGTAGGAGAAGAACCAGGACGTGGGGCAGAGTTAAAAGAAGGAATGGGCTAGAATCCCTGTATAGCCACAAATGGTAATGAAGGCTCCTGACCCTTATCTAACCAGGTGTTGAGAAGATTCCTTTGCATTTGGCTTGTAGCAAGAAATCTGCTTAATTGCACTTTATGTGTAGATCTGGTCTTTCAGGCTTGACACTTACCTTGTTTTCAGCCATGTCCAGTGGTGGGATTCAAAATATTTTACCGCCGGTTCTGTGGGCGTGGCTTGGTGGGCATGGCAGGGGAGGATACTGTAAAATCTCCATTCCCACCCCTCTCCAGGGGAAGGTTACTACAAAATCCCCATTTCCTCCCAATCAACTGGGGCTTGGGAGACAGAGAATGGATGGGGGGCA